AGTACGTCCGAGCGATCAGGCGGTTCGGGTGGAACACTGGAAACGCAAGTGTGTGAATGTCGCACACTTCTAGGTGTGTGAATACCCATTCGTACACTTAGGGGGGAGGGGGGGGGAGTGTGAATTTACTAGGAAAAATTCACACCTTTACCCCTCCAAGTGTGCGAATGGATATTCACACACCTACAAGTGAGCGACATTCATACACTGGCGATTCCAGGCAAGTTTATATTTTGAAGAACTTTTCGAAATAATTTCTTTAGAAATTGTTACATAGCCTTTAGTGACTTGTGCAGGATTAAATTCCAGCACACCCAAGTAATGAACATTTTTCACTTAAATTTTCACGAAAATGTAATAAAAACAGCTTCAAATAAATGTTATTGAATTAATGTAATATTTTTTTTTAACAATAAGCACCTCATCTTGACTCTACTTACTCTTATAGCCTCCTCTTCGGCGGCCTCTTCCTCCTCTGCCTTCTTCTGGAGCTCGTCGTACGACATGGCGACGATAGCGAGGATCAAGTTCACCAGATAGAACGACCCGAGGAAAATGATGACGATAAAGAAGAGCATGTGCCAGGGCCCGGCTGAGCGCAGTACCAGCTGGTAGAGGTTCTCCCAGTAGTCTTGCGTCATGAGCCTGAAGGCGGAGAGCAGCGCCCAGCCGAACGTGTCGAAGCTGGTGTAGCCATAGTTGGGGTTGGAGCCAAACCCCTGGATGCACGTGTAGCCCGGCTCGCACATCCCGGCGCCCGATGAGTTCCCGCACAGCGGGCAGTCGCGGGCGTCCTCGTCGTTACACTCCCAATTTGCTGCAGACAATCAAAATCGTGTGAAATTTACAATTTGTGGACATAGTCACGTCAGCGTTGTTTCAGCTATACTCACTTTTGTTACTAGCATGAGCAAACCAGTTCGCGTCGGTTAGTGGGCCTGCAGACCCATCATTGGGAAAATTTCTAATACATTTTTGTGTGAGCACACCCATGTAGATTTGCAGGCCCATAAGCGCAAATACAGAAAGAGAGAACATGGTCAAAATGATCACATCCCGCAGATTTTTCACGGATTCTATCACAGCACCCACGATGGTTTTCAGACCTGAAACAGACGAACGGAGGGTGTAGGGGTTTCGCCCAATTTTTTCGTCGAAAGATTCATAGGTATTTCTATAGGTATAGGTTCATCCTTACCAGGTACAATGGCGACCGTCTTGAGAGCTCGAAGCACTCGGAAAGTCCTTAAGGCTGCCAGATTTCCCAAGTCGATTCCCATTGTGATATAACTGCAAAACGCCAAAGGTTAGTCAGGCAGGGAAACATGAGAGTTCTTTGGTTGCTGTCTCTAAATCTTGTCATCCCAGGATCTAAGGTTCTGGAAAGACAGTAATTTGACTATGTATTTTGGTTAACCTATCTAAATATTTAAGATTTGTCTAGTCACAAACTTTCATATTGTAACTCTAAAAACTCTCGTAAATCTAGATACAATTATACGCCACCATCCCGACAGCATTGTCAGATAAACACACACAGGACGAGAATACCGGCAACAGGTATCAGAAATCAATCTTCCAATATCGGACCGGGCCCACCCATTTGATTGATATGACACGGAAGGCTTCGGAAGGGGAGAATAAATGCCCCTGAACACTCGTCCACTTTTTCAACAACTCCTCGGATCGATTTACCAATTCTCTACATTCTACACACGGGTGTAAAGGTGTCGCTAAATCAAATTTTAAACACTCAAAGAAGGCTTTTACGTTAGACAGTACACGATACTAGAACTACAACGGCTAAATTGACAGTACGGAAAATATCTCCATGGGTCTAAATTAATTAATGTACACATGTGGCCTCCGGAAAACTACTTGTCAAACGGAAATCGACTTCTGCGTCACAAGGCATTAAACAACATGTAAAAAATTCCCAACATCTAACTGCAAGGTAGAACAACCAATTAGAAAACTCAGCAGTATATAGACAAAGCTCAGTTTTCTATTCTATACATTTTGCCGTACATCTACTGGTGTGCCTTGCCTCGGTTTGGGCTGCAATCCTACTTTTTATTTCGAGGTTTCGGGCGAAACCATTTTATTCCAAAGGTATTTTACGCGCCAGCCACTGAAGAACTGGTGGGAAGAGCAGTCCAGATTCCACTAAAAATATTTCAAATCGGAAATAATCAGGGTCCAATAGGTTTGATTGATTCAATAAAGAGCCATTAACATCATCTCATCGAATCAAACTGGTCCACCGCAAACAGTCACCTGATCTACGAACTCATACACCCCAGTATAAAGGAAGTACAAACTATTTACCTTGGACTGTCAAAGAGGATGTACCCGTTTTGAACTTTAGCTAACCCTTGGAGTCGCTCTACAACCGACTCCACACACATGTACTTACGCTAAAACTATGACAATGAAGTCCAACCAGTTCCATGCATCTCTAAGGTAGGTGAACGGCTGTAGGATGAATCCTCTGGCCATCACCTTTACGGCTGATTCAAATGTGTAGATGCCGGTAAATATTACTCTGAAAGAAAACGCCCACACCAACAAAGTTATTCGCACACCCAATACTACTGACAGACAGACAGCCGTCTCTACGCAGCTGAATGAAAATAATCTACGGTCAATATTGTACGATAAAACTTCACTTATTCTATAACCTGAGGATGTATCTATAAATCTACGTGAAAACGTTAACACTCACACCAGGAAATACTATATATTCTAGACAATTCGGAGAGAAACTAATTTGGACATAAGGAAAAAATTGTTTCATTTTTTCCTCACGTTTCTAACCATTATCGAAAGATACTCTGATTATCTATGGTAATTCAAAGGGCTACAATTATAACACTTATAATCATAATAATTTCCACAGATTCTTTGCTGTCGATTGCTTTCCAAAAAGCACTACTTTTCGAAAACAATATACGAATGAAACAATACTACACAAAGTCTAAGTGAATTCATAAAATGCAATGGCTGCTTAGGTGTCCAAATACTATCATCATATATACACTGCCTTGAGATAGTAAGTGCTGACTGATTTCATGGTACGACAAACAGAAAAATGAAATGAAACTAAGCGGGAAAGAGGAAATTAATTGTGAGTAAGAAGGGAAAAATCCTTAAAATTCTTGATCGCTTAGGTATACTGATAAAACATGTGTTCAACCGACAAAAATTTCTTTAAAGTGCCCAATTGCATTTGGAGCAGAAGAAATTGAATCTTAAAAGTGCATGGTCAACTAGTTATTGAACACCTGATTTATCAGTGTAACTGGAACTATCGATAAAACGTAGTAAGAGTAGCAGAATCAGAGAAATGTACATTGACTTGCAAAATCATGTAGACTTAATAACAGCAAAAGGTACACATGTCCACAAATACAGTCGTAGTTTCTTTTGTCAAGTGCAATTTTCGAATTCTGCTCGATTAGTTTTATTTGGATGCGTACTCTGTTGACTCGACTTTTGGTGAGCTGGGCATTATCATGAGGATACAGTTGGTGAGGATAGTGGTGATGATGAAGAGAGAAAAGAGCGGGTGGACGAGGATGTAGATTGCCACCCGGCGGATGGGGTTGAACGGGTCCAGAATCCATAGCGCGTCCGTTGCCGAAAAGCGAAAGATGTCCTTCCCTTTGCTGATCACCACAAATGTCTGTGGGAAACACAAAAGAAAAGAGAAATTAAAATTCAAGTCTATCTCGTTAACCAATATTAGCTGAAACATGGAATTTGCGAAAACACACACGACAGAAATTGCGGCCTCATTTTGCAGAGTGCAGCCGCGTACGCATAGCGCGTTCCCCGTTCCATCCGCAAGGGGTCGTTACTGCCCCCACCACTACCCCTTCCCTGCTGGGTTCCTGCAGGGATGACGTCACGCGCTCCTCAATGGAGCCGGCCCGGCATGCCCCGCTAGCCTTGCCAGCCCGTGCGCGGCCTGCCCTCCTATCAGGGTGTCTGCGTCCTCAGTCATGGGGCGGCTGTCCCTCTCATCGCGTCCTGCCCTTTCGGCTCGGCACCAGCGTGGCGCCGCCATCAGGCTTCCTCCGCCTTCGGCCTTGATCAGGGCTCCAGGAGCCGCCCCCCCCCCCTCCTGCCGGGTAGTAGCGGCCTTGGCCACTCGCTGCCAGCAGAGACGGACCAAAAGGATTTGAAGGCTGCCAAAAGGCGACGTTCTCGTTTATTGCCGGGGCGATGCGGGCTCAGCGGGCTGTCGCTATTCTAACCAGAGAGCTAGCACTATCAGGAAGCTAGTGTTCCCTTTACCGTAACAACTGAGTTCTTTGACAAACTACGCTGTACTTACTTGATCCTTTACTTTTCAAGTACAATTATCTTGAAAAGGCACAGTGAACTTGGTCCAGGAACTCAGTTGTTTTGGGGTGCTCCTTACCTTCTCCAGTACGAAGCAAAATCCACCCGCTTTATGTATTTGTACGTTTTTGAGCAAACGTTCGAGCTAGGTTAAACCTACGTTTTGTTTCATTTATGTTTGTGCGCCAAATTGCATAATTTCTTACAAATAAACGCACAAAATTGTTCAAAATCATCGCAGATATGTGTGCGAACAAAATTATTGCTTAAATTCGTACAAATAAAAGATAGAAATTAAGTTAGTATTGAAAAGATCTGACTATCTGTGTCACCTTGGAATTTCGATAAGTAAAGTAGTTTTACTCATTTTAATAACATGGAACCTCTCAAATTTACACGTAAAATTACTGAAAGGGCTGTACACTGCGCAACTTTGAACGTTTTTTTTTTTCAGCCACAAATTTTAAAGGGGAGAAATAATTTACAACGTAGCTTGGTTTAGCAGAAAATTATACCTCCAGCCCATACAGTACTGCCCAGGCACTCGAACTTTAGACCTACCCGCTGGTTGTGGTAGAAGGGGTCGATGTCCTCCAGGGGCGTGGAGGCCAGCTCGGCGGGGAAGTTGCCGTGCATCCTCACAGGTATGGGCACGCCCTGCTCCAGCGTTGCATCCGGCTGCGGACCCTCGTCCTCGTCCGAGTCCTCGTACCGCACCTGCGAGAAGCCGCACCACCGTCAATACAGCACTTTTGTATACTCTCCTTGAAACTGGGACAAAAAAGTTACTTTTGGATGGACCTAATGTTGTAAGGTGAGAAACGAATGAATGTCTCTAAAGCACCATTCAATTCCTTTACAGTCAATATCTAGGCCATAATAAGCATATGTTTCTGTATCAACCGTGGCATGAAATTTAATGACTTGCTGATTTGAGCATGCCAGATGAGAGTGCACAGTACTTATTGTGTCGCACTGTTCCTGCCTGGTGAGGATGTTTGGTGCAATGACTGACTACATTTCAACTTAGTTTTTTACTGCTACACTAACCCGAAACTGAAAACTACAAAATATCTCGCTACCACAATGTTAGAGGAATACTGTACGTATACTAAAATGACTAAAACTTAAAACTCTGTAACTTTACAAATCAACTGTTGTTTTTCCTCAAAGCAACGTATCAGAAAAGTTTTCGTCAGCTTGAATTCTATTTGAAATACTGTACTCAAATATAAAGGAACAATAATGACTTCGTGACGGTAAGTTGGCTAAGCGATAGCAAAGCCCAGTACTTCGCCGGTCCGAAAAGTGATTGTTTGTTTGTTTGTCTACACGATAACTCAAGAACGTTTTCGCGTTCGACTGTATCTTTGAATACTTTAAAAGTGTTCAACAGTAAATTTGAACACTTTACCACATGCCCTGCGGCTCATTTACGGTACCTAAGATTTAACATGGGAGCGTCACCACATAGTGGTCACGCACAGGAAACGTGTGAAAGTGTCCAAAGGTTCTTGGCCAACCCTTGTGTTAAAACACTTTTAAGTTTTCAACTTTACTGTTAGACACTTTTTGGTATTCAACCAGTCATACACTTGAAAGTGTGCAACATAGAGTTGAGCACTTGCATGTGCACGCCAGTTAAACACTTTATTTATCAGTGAACGAATTTGATTAGTGGTCTGAATATTTAAGTGTTGTTTATGCACTATTAAAAACCTGATCGAGCTCGAAAATGGACATTGTAGGTAAAAAATTGACCTCTTAAAAAAGGCGCGGGTCTGTGTATGTAGTTGATCCGTGCGCATGCATGCATATATTGCTCGAGTCTCACTACTTTTGCTGAAATTGTGTATTTTAATGGCGCAAAATTTAAAAAATGACCATAATTATTGTTGTTTCTATGACGTCGGAAGTCGGCAGCCACTCAACTATGCACTCCACCAGAAGGTGTGTTGTGATCGCTGCTGAGCGTTTTATTTTCCATGCCGAACTAGCGCATCTCGAGGGGGCCACCACTCGCGTAATCCTGTGTACAGATGAGGGTGTAATCCCTACGTAATCCTTATCTATTCCGTGTAATCCTTGACCAAATTTTAAAACATAATCACAAAATTTTACCTTATTGTCCAAATTTTATGGTTTTAGAGCCTGAAATTCAACAAAATTCACGTGTAATCACTCAAAATTCACGTGTAATCCCTGTAATCACGTAATCCTGTGTACATCCTCAATCGCTGTGGTGGCCCCCTCGGCGCATCTGCTAACTCATATTAAATCATCAAACTTTTTAATGTTATCCCCATGTTGATAACAATCTTATGTTTAACACTCATCTAGTATTAGACATCAATACACCCAGTTTTAACGAAAATAGTGAGCCTCAAGCAGCCATGCATCCATACATGCACGCTTCAGGCATGCAAAATGCAAACCCAATATGAAAACTCTTTGGAAAAAAAGGCTAAAACGCAGTGTCTGTATGGCACGTTGTCTTAAAAGAGAGCCTGGTGAGGGTTTTCCTTTCGGTAGTTCGAGTAACATGATTACCAGCGTGCGTGTGTAGTGTGCAGTCCACAGGGAAAGCCCCCGGGACTGAGCGAGGAGGCTGCCCGACCGCCACGCACCACTAAGTGAGATTAATGTTGTCATATTGTCAAGCGTCCTTCGCCAGCTTGGCAAATTAGCCGCAAAATTTTTGTCCAAGGGGATATTAAAATTCCATGTGATATGAACACTAGTGTGAACAGCTAGGTAAAGAGATTAGTGTTGCTGACTTTCAGCAGCAGTAGCCGGGTACTCATTTCTTACAACCATACTAAACAGGGTGTTCTTTTTAGACAGTCCCCCAAAGACTGTCTCTATCAGAAGGAAAAGTCCCCCCCCCCCTCCCCTCCTTGCTATCTACAGCGCAGAGCGGGCGACCGGCGGCGTGTGTCATTATGTGGGTTTGGGCAAAGCATGCTGAGCGCGCGGCCGGGCGCTGCCACCCGCTCTACCGCTGCCCCACCGCTGTAGCTAGCTACTTGAGCTGTACGAAAAACTCCGGAGGTTTGTGGCCTGGTCAGGGGTACTGCCTCTTTCTTAACCATGCGGGCTGATTTTTTGATTATACTATACCGCGTTGGCGTGCGGATGGATGGCCGGCCATGCTTACCTTTGCCAACCGTGAAACATGAAGGAAGGCGCCTAGTGAGTAGGCAACCCGCCCACACTCACAAATGCTGGACAGCACAGTATAAGCCAAAAACGGGGGCGGGGTGACGGTACCTATGGGCCACCCTGAATAACTATTTGTTTTCACCCCGGGTGGAGGATGAGATGGAGGCTTGCGCCGACACTTCTGTCAAGAGACCCTCCCGCCACGGGGCCCTGGTATTTCCCTGGAATAGTTGTAGCTCATCGCCACCGGCTGGACAAGAGACCCACGCGGCGCCCGCTCGGCCCCGGCTGGCCCGCCCCGGTCAATAACAGAGCGGCAGCGGAGAACTCCCCGGCCGAAAATATGTTTAAGGAAGTTGATCCTGTAATCCTCTTCTCACCAAGAAACTGTAATATTTTTTCTCGACGATGAAGAAGCTCGTAAACCTGATCCCCACAGCCCACCCCGCTTAACTCCTTACGCCTCCACTCACAGCGCGCAGCACTTGCTTCTCTCCCGGCCTGGCCTGCCGGCTTGGCCAGGCTACACGGCCCAGGGTTGCACTGCTGGGACAGTATCATGTAGGGAGCTCTCGCCCACCCTGGCCTGGTCGCTCAGCGCGTTCAGCCGGTTCAGGCCGGTTTTGGGGAGGGAGAGAGAGACAGAGAGGGAGGGAGAGGGAGAG